TATATATATATATATATATATATATATATATATATATATATATATATATATACAGCGAGTATCGTCGCGCGAGCTTTAGATCGGGAAAAGAAGAAGAAAAAGAAGAGAAGGAGAAGGAGAGGACAGGGGAGAGGTAGACGAGGGTGATCAGAGGAAGTGATCTATGTCGGGATTGAGAGGGGGCGGAATAGGTGGAAGAAAAGCGGTCATTGCCGCACGAGTCGTCGGCGCATCTTCCTCATGGAAGTGATGCTGGACGAATGAGGCGTAAAGGAAAGCCCCCGGCACATGAGAGAGGACACGTGGCGCCAGATCCGCCACCGCTCGCACTACCCGCTTGCGCACCAATTGAGGCCCTGGACCCGTCATCACCGTATGAGTCTCGGTGCAAGGCCGCCGCTCCTGCTTCTGCGCCGCGAAGACTTGGAAGTGGTACATCGCATTGGGACGCTGCCCGGTCTCGTAGATGAGCGTCCCAGCCAATCGCGCCGCAATACACCCTTGAAAAGGGGGCGCCAGATATGGCTCCCACGCCGGATCAGGGCGCGGCGCCCCCGCGATGGCCTCGAGCCTGATGGTGGCGGTCTCCACCATGAAGTCCACCTCGGTCGGATCGGCTTCCTCCTCCGGCTGCTGCTGATGATGATGGCCCGGCTCCATCAAGATTGAGATCGGGCACACGAGGAATGGGCAGCGATGGCACGATAGTCTCCTTAACGAGCGACACCGCACTCCTAGGCACAGGGTCAGGAATCCGCGTACGCGCGGGCTGAATCACCTCCTCGCCGCCGTCGATCCTGCTGCCTTGCGCACCTTGCGATGGGTGGCGTCTCTTCCTCTTCGGCATCTTCTTGGGGGCCTTAGGTGGCGCTGGTCGAGAATACAACGAGGGAGGACCCAACGGCCTTTCCTTCGGGAAGTCCTCCAATCTCTCCGCGCGCTGCGCAATGTAATCCGGGATGACGACCGCGTTGTACGTTCTCCGCGGGGCCGTCACCGTCCGCAATCGTGGTTGGATCTCCTCCTCCTCGCTCGCGATCACTTGCGCAATGGAGAGGAGCTCAAGATGTATGAGCTCCAGCAATCCCGGATCGATTGCCTGGAGCTGGGCGAAGGGGTACAGCGCCACCGTCCCTTCCTTCTCCGCTGGCTTGGGCCGCGTGATGACGTAGTAAACGATGAAGTGCTCCCCGATAGTGTGGTCTTCGTGATCCACGAAGAACCGGAACATCCCCATCGCCACCCACTTGTACAACGCACGGTGCAACTCCCAGGCGTCTTCGTCGGCGAAGGGCAGCGGCTCCACGTCAGTTAGCTCCACCAAGTATTCCGAGAACTCGCGCATAGGATAAGGGCCCTCTGTGAGTTGGTAGGGGAGGGTGGTGTAGGAGAAGAAGGGAGGCATTTAGTATGGAACAGGGGGAATAGCTTGGAAGTTGAGAGGAGCAGCGGGAGGGAGAAGCGCGGGGAGCTGCGGCACCAACGCAATCGGTCCGTCCTCTGCCCTACGCAGCAGCACCTCGTGGGCTGTGAATCGGTGCCCCCCCCGTCCTTGCAATCTGGCCACTGATCTGGCCGCTTCTACCGCGTATTCGCACACAAAGTTGCGCGCCGGCTCCCGATTCGGCTGCGGTAGGATCGTCAAGTCTCCAATGAAGGTGGCCACGTTGTGCACGAAGTTGGGTGCCACCTGGAGCGCGCGGAACTCAATGAATACTCGGGTCGTCTCCCGGCCAAGCAACTGCGTCACGTCCACATACACCCCCGCATACGTCAGGCGATCGCAAAGCAACGAGTACACCACCAAATCAGCAACCCCGGGCGCCGGCACGTTCACCTGCTGAATGTCGTACCGCAACTGCCTCTCCTCATTGAACTGATGCCGCAACAGGCGATCTACAAGCGGCGTCTGGAAATGCTCGAGGGGCTCATGCTCCGGCTGGCGATGGTTCATCCTTCTCCCTGAAACTCTCAGCACCAACGGACGAGGCAAATCGGGAAGAGGAGGAGGATGAGGATGAAGAAGGAGAGGGTGATCTCGCAGGAGCGGGGGTCCGTAGGGGACCTAGTGATGGCTGGAAAGGCTGGAGCGCAGCCGCGTGCCGTGTCAGTGGTCGGGCCTGGGAGTTGTGATGGGGAATCAGCTTCACGGAGTGCTGTCCCTGTGCGCCAACTTCCGTGACCTCGTAAATGTCTGTGTAGCACTGGTGGATCTTGGAGGAGCGCGCAGATTTCCGTACCTGCACCAAGTCCCCAACTTTATAGCGGGGCAGTGGTCCCGCCGACGCGTGTCGATTCTCGTAGTCACGGATCTGCCGTTGATGGGTCCGATCTACGGCCTGCTGTCGACGGCGAGCTAACGGGGGATAGGCCCTAGCCATTAAGTCCATGTAGTGGCGGGCCTTGTCTCGATTCTCGGCCCGTGTTGCTCTAACTTCCATACCGACTAAGGGGGACAATTGCACCCGAGGGACACTATTGGTTCTCAGTTGAAAGGGGGACACCCCAGTACTACCGTGTGGGGTAGCCCGATATACGGCCAAGATGTGATCGACAATGACCGGGCAGAGCCGGGTGTCTCCCGCGGTGATATTCCGTCTAAGGGCGGTCTTAATCAGTCGGTTGGCATTCTCTACCAGGCCGCTGGCTTGAGGCCAATGTGTACCTCTTCTACGTCTAGAATTAGGTGACGTTCTACTTCGCCCGAATTAGGTGATGTTCTACTTCGCCTTGAAATTCTGACCCATTGTCCATGTGTACCTCTTCTACGTCTAGATGCATGCACAAAAATCGGTTTACGTACCAGGCTACCTCCTGCGAATTCCGGCTGGTCATAGGGTTCGCCTCGATCCATTTCGAAAAATGATCGACGGCCACTAAAAGAACATTGAGTTCTCCCTGATCGACGGGCCCTCTCGGAACGTTGATATCTGTCGTATCGATGCTAACCCTCTAAAAGGGGCGCTCTACCCGAGTGGGCACCATCGTCCGAGGCATCTGTACCGGCGCCTTGTCCGCCGCGCAGGCCGGGCAATTCTGAACGATGTATCTCACATCTTCCCGAATTCCTGACCAGTACCATCCGTTCTTTTCGATGGCTTTTTCTGTGTATTTGACCGCAAAATGGACCGCATCCTCTTCATGAGCGGCTCGTGTCCAATCGAACCTAGCGAGAGGGCGTGGAACCGTCAACCAGCTAGACTCTCCGTTGTCATCGACCTTCCGTTTTTGTAACGTCGGCCCTGCCAGCGATAGTCCTGCGCCCGCTCCGTGACTCTCCGCCTCTCGGCTTTGGTAAGTTCTGACAGCGAGTCGCCTGACAGCCTCTGTAGCAACAGAAGGTCCGTCCAGACTTCTGCCCGTCGGCACTTGGTGCGAATCCGTCGGCTGTTCTAGCGTCCAGATACCGCTTCTCGGTAGGGACTTGGTCCGTTCTACAGTTGGGACAGACCCACGTCTTTTCACTTCGGTATCTAACGCACTGTCCGTGAGATTTAACCCTATGACACTGACTACACTGTACCCATAAAAGAAAACTGGGCCCTCCCGGATGTGACCCTTCTTGGTCCGGGATCATAGGCAAGGTACAAAAGAAACAGGGACTTAGATGTGTTTCAGAGGACGAGTTGGGGCTAGACGGGAGAGCGAGGGAGTTGGATGAGGGCAAAGAGATAACGTCTGCCATCTCCGATGAAACCTCCATTCCGGACTCAGGCGTCGCCCTTACGCAGCACGTGCAGCTCCCCGTAGTGCGGTTTCGTCGCCGCGACTTCTGGCCTCCACGGAATGAGTCGCTCGTTAGCGGGACACTTGTTGGGCGGCAGGAGGCGCGTCAATCCATCGACGTTACCATGTTGCCGCGTGGCGCGGTGGCGGATGTCGAAGTCATAGTCCTGCAGACACACCGCCCACCTTCCCAGCGTCCCCGTGTAGTCCGCGTTGTTGCGCAGGGACAACAGCGGCTGATGATCTGTTACCAGCACGAATTTCTGGCCGTAGAGATACGGTCGGAAATGCTGAATCCCCCACACCACCGCCAAACATTCGCCTTTGCACACTTCGTAATTAGCCTGTGCCTGGCTCAACGTCTTGGACGCATACTCAATAACGTGCTCCCTTCCGTCCTCCCCGTGCTGAGTCAGCGCCGTCGATATCGCTTGCGGCTGCCAGTCGGTGTACAGTGTGAGCGGTCTTGTTGGGTCGGGACGCGCCAACACAGGAGCAGATGTCAAAGCCTCCTTCAACGCCTGAAACGCCGCTTCGCATTCCGACGTCCAGATCAGCTGCTCCTATTTCTTCAGCAAGTTCGTGAGGGGCTTCGCTACACTGGCGAACCCCTTAATGAAGCGTCGGTAATAGGATGCCAGCCCAAGAAAAGCCCGAACCTGGGTGAGTGTGACCGGCGCCGGGGCTTCTTGAACTGCTGCCACCTTCCTCGGATCCGGTTTTAGTCCCTCAGCCGTAACGATGTATCCCAGGAATGAGATCTCTGACAAGAAGAACTCGCTTTTCTCCAAGGCCACTTTGAACCCCGCAGCTTTCAGTGCATGCAAAACCCACTCGATGTGCTCCACGTGGTACTCGTGTGTTTTTGAAAAGACCAAAATATCATCCATGTACACAATCACGCAGAAATTGATCAGGGGCTGGGTTAGTCGGGTTTTGTTAACGAACTCAGCGAAGGCCATATTCATGGCCCGCTGAAACGTTGCAGGGGCGTTACAAATTCCCATGGGACACCGGACCCATTGCCACGTGCCCTCAAATAGGACAAAAGCGGTTTTGGGTCGGTCCTCCGGTCGGACTGCGACGTGGTGAAAACCGTGTCGGATATCGAATTTGGAAAAGACTCGAGCGGCCCCGATAGCATCTAATAAATCATCGATTCGCGGCAAGGGATACACACTGTCTCTTATACACATCTAGATGTGTATAAGAGACAGATACACATCTTTGGTAGTGATGGCGTTCAATTTCCGGTAGTCGATACATACCCGGACCGAACCATTTCGTTTTGGCACGAGGACCACGGGAAAAGACCACGGTCCCAGCGATGGCTCGACCCACCCCAACCGCTCGAACTCCCGTACCCTTTCCAAGGCCAGCTGTCTTTCTTCAAGGGAATATCGGTACGGTCGGCAATGTATCGGGGCGTGATCCCCGGTGTCAATCGCGTGTTGTATCAAAGGGGTTAGCCCTATGTCGTGGTCCTGAATGCTGACGACCTCAGAATAGGCTCGTATAACCGCCAAGAGGAGGTGTCGGTATTCGTCCGGAACACGGGTTGGTAACTGAACTTCCACGGTTCCCCCAGGAAGGGAGACCGTAGTCGTAACCGTGGGGACCGCCGCGCTGGCATCGGGCGAGGCCCCAAACAAAGAGTTGTCGGTTTTTGCCGAAAGGACAGTCGCAATAAGTTGATTGTCCGCCGGACTCATCGGCTCGCTTTCCATGTCACTATCACTGTCCAGTTCGGGTTCGGTCGAGGGTTCTACCGAAAAGGCCTGTGCCAGTTCCCTCGGTCCCCACCGATATTCCCTTGTTCGGGGTTGGAACGACACTCCTTCTTTCAAAAGTATCGCGGTTTTTTCATTCGTGAGTAGGGGCTGTGGAGGTTGAAAAGATAAATCGCACAGCCCCCTCAACTCGATAAATCTTTCAAGTAGGGGGTCCGTCCTGAGATATAAAGACGCAGGGGGTTCCGAAAGGTCAGCTATTCAGGACACCCTCAGCAAGGGTTCCCCCTGCACCACGGAGGAGAACGCGTGCGACCGATTGAACTCGCTCCGAACTATTTCCAATGGTTCTCGCCGCCAAGAATGGCGCCATCGATCCTGAACTCGGATCGGATATCGGTCGGGTACATCAGTCTCGTTAGTTTCCGTCGAGGGTTCATTTTCGTCCGGTGACAGGCGTCGAATCATGTTGATTTGATGGGCTTTCGTGGTGAGGCGAGGCGCCGGCTGGGTACGCATGCGCACCGCCAATCTCATTGGTATCGCTTGGGGTTTGGGGTGGGCCGATGTGAGCACCACCTTACAGCTGTCAAAGTGCATTCGCGCTCCGACCACCGCCTGCCACGGAATGCCTAGCAGAACATCATACGCTTGTACATCCAGCACGATCACGTCACACAAACAATGCACCCGCCCCACCCGTATAGGTACGTTCGTTATTCGCCCTTTACAATGAATACTGTCCTCCGTAGCGGATATATACAGTTCATCCGGTCGGAGGGGCTGAACCTGTCCTTCCCTTCCCAACTGTTTCGTCAATCTCCAAGAAATGGCGACCGCCGACGATCCCGAGTCTAGGATGGCGGCCAAGGGGCTTCCCCAGACCTCACAGTCACACTCTACGCTTTTCCAGGTTATAGGATAGGCCCGGAGGAATACCTCGGGTTTTCCCGAGGCGGAATCTACAGTCTGGATCATCCCTATCCGGTTGGCTTCGTGCACCTCTGAGGTCGAGGGTTGTGACTCCTCGTTGGTGGGTGGGTCCCGTAGGACCGACTTTTTGCCCTTTCGACTTTCCTCGAATCGGCGCCTGTTTTTTAGGCACCGTTCGATCAACTTTTCGTTAGCCGCTTCGGAAATTGTTAGCAGATATGGAATAGGGACGGGGATCCGAAGATCCAGAGCCTTCAAGGCATCCAATACGTCGATATGGCCATCCTTGTATTCAGGACCAGGTACCGCAATATCTTCGAATCCTGGTCGCCACGGCCCGAGGTCGCTTTCCTCGGTAATCCGTTGGACGTGACGTATCACTCCGATGGTCCCGGGTTCGAACATCGTTGCCGCCATATACTCATCGGGTCCTATCTCAGTGGCCGCAGGGGTCACCATCTCCGTCGTTCGTGTGTCCATTACCGTGGCTACCCTCTCCTGTCCTGCAGCGGTGGGAGCAGCCAGCGGGATTTGGGAAGGTCCGGTGGGCCCGCCCTGAGTTCGAGGTTTCGGACAATCTTTCGTAAGGTGGCCTGGCTGATTACAATTATAACAGCGTAGGGGTGGGACAGCCCCGGCCACGGCCGGTCTTATCATAGGGGCTCCGACAGCCATAGGCGCCTGTTGCCGTTGTGCGGCGGCTATGCGTTGCCGTTGCAGACCTTGAACAAACTCCGTCAACGGGGCTACTACCGTAACTAGTTGGGTCGCGACCTCTTTCATGGATACTTCTTCCTCGCCCCGGCCTCCTTGCATTTGACTAGGGCGTCAGAAGGCCGAAGCAGAGGAAGAAGCTTTCCGATCCGAGCCTTTTTTTGCCGGACCCAACCCGAAGCGATCTTCGAACATTCGTGCCGTAGCGGAGTAGCTATTGCGTCGAACACCCGAAGGGTCATCTTCGTCGGATTCTGAGTCCAGGCCCACATCGTAATTTTCTTTCTCGTGCTTAATTGCGTACTGAATTAGCTCCGTCAGGGTATGTTCTATAGGGGTTGCATTTCTTGCGGATCTTTTTCCGCAGACGAGAATCTGACAGTCCTCTGACGAAATCAGTCCGTACCATTTTCTCATCCACCCCGGAGCGTTCCGCTAGGTACGTAAAACGTTCAGCATATCTAGCCAAGGTCTCCCGAGGCTGCTGTGTGTATTCCTTTATTAAACGGAGGCATTGACCTGGTGCGATGTGATCAAATCTATCGAGGAATTTCCTCTGGAAGGCTGCCCAATTAGTGAAGGGGTTTTGTCCGTACCACTCAAAAGCGGTTCCGGCTAACCTTCCGGGAATTCGTTCTCGGATCAACTGGTCCGACCAGCCCTGGGGATTCAAGGCAGCTAGCCAGGTGCAAGGATCGGTGTCATATTCAAAAAAAATGGGAACTTCGGAGGGAGGAGGTACAAAGTATAGGGGATGATTGGCCATCCCCGCGTGGTTGTCGCCGTCGTTTTCACCCCCGATTCCGGGTTCCACCATCGCAGGAGGCGGGTTTCGAGCCCGGCCTCTCGCTCGGTTCTGATTGCTATTCGCGGGCCTCCGACGACGGGGAGCCAGCCTACTCAAAAATGCGAAAATTCTAGTTAAAAGATCAAAAAGAAAAAGGAGAAACTTTAAAACAAGGTAATCGTCCTAGGAAAACCTCGGAGCCGAAACGAATCAGCTCTGACACCAACCCCACGCCCCCTCGCGGTGTCCCGTACGGGGTCGCCGATCAGAGTTTTAAGAGGGGCGTGGCCGAGGATTTTTGGCCGTAAGGGTTGAGTCTCCCGGACGGAACGGGAGACCCTCGTTTCATGCCAAAGGTTTTCCCCGGAGTCGAACTGTCGCCGCGAAGTCCCGTGGGGGTCGGATCACTCCGAAACGATAAAATCAAAAAGGTTTCCACAAAAATGAACTGTTGTCATGCATCGGGACGGAAAAAGGCGTCAAGGGGAAAGGGCCATGGCGCCGGGAGACAAAACTTCGGCCGTCAGGGGTTTGGGGGATAGGAGGTGGGTTCGAAGCCTTCAGGCCTCATCATCGACCTCACAAAGTGGCCGAACCCTCGGGTCTTTGCTGTGGAGGTGGTTGGTTCGAGGCCTTCAGGCCTCGGCGTCGGACTCACAGAGTCTGCGCAAAAGTTTCCGGGAGGGTAAAGCGGCGGGAGGACTCGTCAGCATCTGAATTCGAAATTGCGCGGGCAGCGCCCCCGCACTACGGGAAAGCTCGGGGAAACGTGTCGCTCCCTCGTAACCCAGGACCAGCCGTCGCCACGAACACGAGTCCCCCTGGCGACACCAGCGACAATCAAACTGCGGCTGCCACGCGCTGTGAGCGGCCGACCAGGGCAACACCGTCAAACCCGTATAAGGCAATATTAGAGTCGGGGAATCAAACCGATCAATCAAAACAAACCCGTTACCCCTTATCTCACAAGCTCGAGGCGGGTCTTGCCAACACACTTGCTCCGTCCGCCTCAGCGCGCGCCGTACGTCCGCATCGCAATAGACGCTGTCGTCATCTGCGATGGGGAAGGTCGGTAGCGAGATGAGACGATTGGAGGTACGTGATGAACACGGGCAAGATCCCGCGTTYCCGGTCATCCRGACCAACACCGAATCCATGCAACAATCGTCGCAACTCTTCTCTCTCGAAAGTGGGTGCGTAGGGGGAGGATGACGAAATCTAAGCTTTCTCCCCTTGGCGGGGGCGTCGACCGTCCGCGCGGACGCAGGCGGTTGACGTCACCGGTACGGGGATGAGAAGCTCTAAAAGGCGATGACTGTTAGTTCAAAAGGAAGGCGATCAAAAAGGGAGAAAGAGAGAGAGAGTTACGCCAAGACCGCGCGAGAGCGCAGGAAAGGCCGTGGAGCGGAGGGGAACAACCGGATCAACACACTCATACTCCTAAGCAGACGGTCCCCCAGTTCAGTTTCCCCATCCCCGCCCGGACGAGTACATACACACATACATGCATGCAATCGACAACCCTTGATAAGACATTTAATCATCCATGAACCTTCGACGTCACTCATGCGCATAACCAGCTCCCATCGCTCGGGGCTTCACACACACGACATGCATGGACAAAGCAGCAATGGAGATAAAAGTGAGTCCTTCTTGTACAGAAAAAATTCAATTAACTGCTGCCCCCAGGCACAGCCTTCAAAACTTCCCAAGACCACTGACCACCATAGCCACAAGGCCCTGCCGCGGCCGGCGTCCAATCCCCACCACTGCTCGGTCCCTCCGACTGCTTCGCCCCGAGACTACTGCGGGGTCCACCCCACGCCGTCACTCCGCCCGTCCTTGGGCTTGTCGAGCATGTTCAGCGCCGCGGACTCTCGCGCATAGCTCGCGCAGCATTGCAGCCGAGATCAAAGAGGAGGAGAGGAGAGGGTTGCGCAAATTTATAGCGCGGGAGGCGGCGGGTTAACAGCGCGAGGTGCGGGCAGCGCAGGGTGTAGATGAGCAGGAYAGGAGAGAGAGGTGGGGAGTTAGMGGGTTCGACCCGYGGGATTGCATGGYTACGTGATTGGGGTGTTCGTCCCAGTGGTGCGCGGTTTCCCGCTTTCCACATTGATCCGAGCATCCCAACTAYGCAGCCAATCGCTTCGCGGAGGAAGACGGGGTAAGGATCAAGCTGGGCGTAGGGGGAGACGAAGAGTCCTGCATGGGGAAAATGCGCGCAGCAAGAAGGGAAGATGGAGCGAGGATGCAAAGCAAGAAACGGGGAAGTGAGACGCGTGAAGAAATCGGAGCTTGGGCGCGCGCGCAAAAATTCAAAAAGTCCCAACCGCCCCCGTTTCTTGGATTTCATACCGCGGCCGCTATTCGCCCGCAGGAGTTATTAACCAAACAAAATGAAAAAGCCGTTTCAAAAAGAAAACAAAAGCAAAAAGAAAGAAAAACCCCTTTCTATCCGCGTCCGTACTTCGGGGCTTCCGCGGGATTTTTCCTCAGGGATACGGCAAGCCGCGCGGTACGGATCTGAGCTTATCACACGCTGGGAGTATTGACGTGAGGATGGGTTGGGAGGTGGTCTCATATTCCAGGACACCCACGGCTCACAGTTCCAGCTGATCACTGTGCATACACTGACTGGCCTCTACAACACCCTAGACTTTTTAAGAAAAGAAAAAAAAAGAAAAAAAAAGGGGTTGGATTAGGAAGAAGTCTCGTGCGCCCTCTTCTGAACCTTTGAGGGTTGCAAGTCTTTTCTTGATCCACCCTACCTTGTCCTTGGCAGATTTATAGGCGTCGTCTTCGTAGAAAACCCATGAGCGTCCATGACGGGTATATATATTCTCTTTCCCTGATCATGTCACTCGGGAGGGCTTTTACCCTGTGCTTTTTTCCCCCTTGGCGAGTTCGACATGTGCAAAATGAGAATGAATGTTCCACATCTCTCTCTCTCTCTGTACCGTATGAAATGACTATACGGCCTGATGCCTGGCCTCACAGGCCATACCAGCAAAATAGCCACACAGGCCCGAATAGAGTCCCGCTGCAGGGGAGGAAGAACTGGTAGGACAAATCAGACAGCACAGTTTCAAACGGAAATCACTCACAGATGGCAGATTGCAAAAGAAAGACTTGACCTTTTTGACACACCAAAGGACATTGCACAAACCATCACACAATTTTGTAGGGACTGGCTGGGAGGCGACCCAGGTGGCTGGATAGCGTCTGTGGTCTGGTCTTAAGACACAGATGGGAGGCAGGCACAGGACGTTCACAGTGCCAGGCAGCACGAGGAGACCACCAGAGTTCATCGGCCCATCTTCAACAAATGGACCAAGTTGGATCCAGGATTCCCCTCAGACCAGCGTCCCACTTCCCTGATTTGTTCCCACCACACGACCTCTCCTTAGTGGACTCCCAATGACGCACTTAGCCACAGACAGGTATCAAGACTGCAGGGTCCAGACCAAGCAGAAGCGGTAACAGAATGGTGGAAGCCGGACACGGCTCCTAGGACTACAAATTCTCCCTCTCTTTGTCATCTCATAGATTATAGTCTCCCGGTTCCCCCCTCTGTTTGTGTATCCCAGACGAAGTCAGCTTTAGTCGTTAGCGGTCTACCTCCTGGTGCCCCCTGGAGTAGTCAAGGCCCACCCCTTTCTCTCATATGGTACTATTCTCAACTCGGTCACAGGATACTTGTTGGAGCAGAAGCTGGGTAATGGCCTTGGTATATTGTCCGTTATTATGGAACCCTGGACCTGGTTTCCAGAAGGTGTAGCCCCCCACCAAGAGACAGGAGCTATCTGTGGGGCAGATACTAAGGGGGGATGCTGATATCACCCTTGGTAGTACCGCCAGAAGACGTTAAAAAAAGGAAAAGAAAAAGATGACTTGTTTCTTGACGCGGCTGAAGTTACCTCAAAAACAAAAAGGTGAACCTTACATCACAACGTGCTGAAAAATTTGCACATGAGCAAACTGCACGCAATATCCACCCTCTTACCATCATTCAACTGTGAGGATAAGACGCTCGATTGAATCTACTGCTAGCAAAGCATGGGAGAAGAGAAGAAAGACGAGGACGGAAATTGCACATAGAACAGGATGGAGAACCTTTGGGTTACATTCACAGCCTAGCTATCAGCACAGTCCCACTGAATCCCAGCTGGTCTCCTGCTCACCACCATTGACAAGTACTGCTCCTGCAAAAGCGCGCACCTCCAGGCCGTACATGGCAATCTGCATTAGTACAACAGTCAGCCTGGATGCATCTACGAACACAGCAGATACTCGTCGGAGCTCTGCAGTCACTGTGGACACAGCACTTTGTTCTTTGGCATCTCCCATTGCAGCACCTGTGTGCGGGACTGAAGTCCCGTCTGCAGTCTGAATCACTGGAGCACAGTAACAACCGTGATCCATCCTCACAAACGCCTCGTTGACTGCAGTATCCATAGTCTTCGCAGTCGCTATCACAGTAGCAACGCTTGCCACCTGCAGCCGCCTGAGGAAGAGTCGATGCTGTCACCGCCATGGCAGCTGAAAAGAGGCAAACGAAGATAGACCACCTCATCTTCTGCTTGTCTTTCTTCACTCCAGCTTTTCGCACTAGAGAGTTCATCCACCTGCCATCATCAGAATGCACGAACAAGGACTCTGTCAACAAACCTGTGTTTTCTTTTTCTTTCTGTTTTTTTGAAAGACGCTCAGTGGGTTGCTGTGGAGCTGCACCTACTCGAAACCGGGTTCAATGTGCCATATGGGCAACAACTTCCAATATCACATACATCATCCCACCTCTCTATTTACCCCCAGGTCTGCAAACAGCTCAGAGTTGATAACGAACATCAAACAGTGCTAAACCACACCTACAACAAACATCATGAGACACGACATGGCAGACATAGAGACGAAGACAAAAAACTCCGAGCGCAGGTAGCGCTTTAAAATTAATTGTCAAAATAGCGCATAGTTCTGGTGATAGGACCGGACCGGTTTCCACCAGCCGCCAGTCTGGCGTCCTCAGGGGTCGACCTGGCTGGAATGACGAAAGAAGCTACAGATCCTAACTTATATACTCTATCATCCGACCTAGTACGTATTCAGGCCCGTCTGATGGAGTCAACCAAAAAAAGCACCGGGTCCACGGTCACCCGGCTATTTAAACAGAGGCCGAGATTGCTGGGAGCCAGGTTCAGCATCCCTTTGACAACCATAACTTTTGTTAGACCAATGAAGACCGTCTGGGCAAACCCCGGACGTTGGCCCGGACGTTTCTGCTCGGACATGTGGACAGAGATGACAAACATGGGATGGGGTATCCTGTTGGGGAACAGTGGGACCGGTGATGGGACGGATGGGGTGTTGAAGGGATGGCCAGATTTGATTGATTTACAGGGAGGGGGATGGGAATGGAAGGGAATAAGAGGAGGAGGAGAACGTGACTTTTCCCTTTCCTTTGTAATCTGTGTCCTGCATGGGACACGACACCATCCTCAGGCCGGACACGGGCGCGTGGATTGCACGTGCTGGCCGTTGCTATGACGTACAGTAAAACAGCTCAGCACCCCAATCGATAACTCTTTTGTATGAACGGAGGGAGCTCCTACTAGAAAGAGAGCCCAATTCCCGTCGTAGACTGCCATACCCAAGTCATTGAGATCAACACACACGCTCAAGAGTCCAGGCTATGGAGAGGAAGACTCGTACCATAGAGCCACCATCTCTGGGATGCTTACTCTCGCTCTTCTTGAGTGAGTCGGATTGCGACCCCTCCCACACTCTCCCCCACCAGAAGTGATTTCCTTTTCTTTCTTCGATTCCCTTTTCCATATATCCATGAATGGACGAGAGAAGGGGTTGTCAAAGCTTTTGCACATGTGTGGTGATTGTTCTGCAGGTTCCAATGCTGGTTCACGAGAGTGCGAAGTGCTTGTGTAGCCTCGCATTGTGCCCATGTAGCCTCGTGATTTTGTGTTTCACCTCCACAGTATTCTTGCTATTGTGTACCAGAGAAGGTCCTTCATATGCGCTGACCTATCGGCAGGCGAGAGGAACGTCATTCGTTGATTGGTATTGGCATAGTGTGTGATAGGAATGTGATTCTCCTCTTGCTATTGGCATAGTGTGTGATGCTCTCACCAGCAGTAAGATTGACCGTTGCGGTGTTAGTGAGACCGATCAGCTCTACTTTTTACTGACTGCGATTGCTAATGTGGCCTTAGCCGCCGTACTCATGTGGTATGCACCTTGTATTCAAGTTACCTCTGAGAAACGGGTTCTTAGAAATATCTGTTAAATTTTCGAATAGAAGGTACCCTCGAATACAAGGTACGTACCTTGTATTCCAACACAAGGTACGTACCTCGTATTCGAACACAAGGTACGTACCTTGTATTCGAGGTGTGCCTTGTAACTGTCATGTAACTGTCATGTAACTCTCTCTCTCTCTCTCTCTCTCTCTCTCTCTCTCTCTCTCTCTCTCTCATGCAGCACAGTCAATGTGTTCTAAAAAAAAAAAAAAAAAAGAACTTCACACTGCAGCCCCGTCCTATTGGTGATATCATTACTAATATTTACTAACACTTTTTTCTTCTTTTTCCCTTGGCTTAGGGAAGTTGCACCCTAAAATTCGTTCTACAAGGTACGTACTTCGAATACTACCTTGTATTCGTATACAAGGTACATACCTTGTTTTCGGGTTAAGACGGTAGTGTGACCTGACGAGTACATGCTCAGCGCTGACGAGTGTTCAAACAGCTGCAAATGACATCAACAATTACTCCAGTCAGTGAATAGTTTCATATTTGAATATTAAGGTCAGGCTAATACCAAAGAGTTGTCACAACGTTGTTGTTCTCGGTTGTCTTGGCGGTCTTGAGAATGCCTTAGGATTCCGGGTTCCTCTTGTAACTCACTTTAGGCTTTTTTGATGCTGTTATATTCTTGGATCCGCGGTTTTTCTATGCCAGAACAACGCTGACCGGTGCTGGGGGTTTGCCCTGTAACCTGTTGATAGCAGGGGCGTGAGGCCTGGTAGAGAGATCTGGGGATGCCTTGGGGCGGGCATCCGAAGAGAAACCCAAGGGTTGCTGTCGGGAAGACGCTGGCCGGAGCTGGGGTGGGTCGTGTTGCCCTGTAACCTAGCAGGGTGGAGGCATGAGGCCTGGGAGAGCTCGGCAGGGAATAAGACAGTGTTAGAGAGTTTTAGAGGGGTTCAATAGGTTAGCAGTTATCCATGTTTTTCCTAAATTTCCCTGAACTTTTAAACAGTTCTGAGATTGTTCTTAGCCGAAGCCAGGTAATGGCCCTGGTATTTCAAATTATTTATATAACTCTATATGGGACGCTGGGCCCGGTTCCCAGCACGTGCTGCTCCCCACGAATAGACTGGAGCATTTGTCCGAAAAAAAAGAAGAAAAAACTGCGCCTGTGACCACCGCACAGTTCAGAATTCGCCGAAATAACAGTCCACTGCAAGCTCGGCCCAAGACCAGTTAGAAACTGCAAGAAAAACAGTAAGGGCCTCGCCACACCAATGTCGAAAATTGCTTTTTCGACATTTTCTCCTCGCCACACAGCATGTCGAAATCCGAGATGCAGAAAAAAATCAGGAGCTGTCAGGGAAAGGGGTTCGACAGAAAAAATTCAGGAGCTGTCAGGGAAAGGGTTTCGACAACTCTTCTCGAGAAGGGCTCGTTTCCCAGCCTGCAACTTGGACATTTTCAACAGTCCTCGGATGGGATGTCGAATTCTTGCCCGAATGTCGAAAAAGAGAACACACCAATGCTTGTCCTATCTTCACCCCAGTTTGTCTCTTTTGTGCATAGGACTTGCAAGTTCTTCACTTCGACATGCTGTGTGGCGAAGAGGGTATGGGCCTGGCTGCACTACTCTAGACTCTCAAAATATTTCGAGAGTTCGGCTCGCATTGTCAGAGAGGCGAGACTCTCAAAATACCCGCCTTCGTTGCACTTACTCTATAACCTATTACACTAGCTGAACTCTCCAAACCCTGGGCATCGTCCTACTCTACAGAAGATCTGCACCACTGCGCTACGGGACAAAGTCTGGCCGCCGGGACAGGAGGTCCACTCTCGAAAAAACAGCCTGCCGGCGGGCAACTCCCAAGGACACTTGCAAATTCGGTTTTTGCAAGGGGGGACTCGCCACGTTTCGAGAGTGGCCTTGTAGCATCGCATCAGTTTCCCGAAGGAGAGTAAGTGCAGCGAAGACCCACTCTCAAAACTTCGAGAGTCTAGAGTAGTGCAGCGAGGCCCTATTTTCTGTCTAAAGAGGGAATGTCGAAAATTTCCTGACATATGTCGAATTTCGTGATGTTTCGACATTGGTGTGGCGAGGCCCTAAAGCATGCGTTCGACGGCCTACTGGTTCAACAACTGGCAGAAACGGGAGCTGGCTCTTTCTCCCGTGGCCTGGGCTCCGAGCAGGTACCTGGCCCTGATTTTTGTCCCTGATTTTTGTCCCTGATTTTTGTTGTGAGGCGCGTCGCCCCTGACAGACAGAGCGCTGTCTTTCCATATTGGTGCCTGGCACGTTTCCACATCTTCGTCCGCACCTGTTCCGCCCGCTTCCGCCGCTCTTGTCCCCTTGTTCCCCACCCACCCCCACACCAAGTCTCCGCATGTCCCAAAAAGTGAACGGGGTGCACGGTTCCTGTTCGGTGCTTGGCTCCACCTAGCACACGGTGTATCTGGTCCTAGAAGCCATTCCGATTCGTTTTGGACCAGCGAAGAAATCAAAAGAATGCCGGCCACAATCAATCCGGTTGGGATGCATCTGTCTGCATATTCATGGGGAATGGGAACACAAACACTTGCCATGCATCAGGACGCACTACTGTGCATTATTCATTACCATTGTGTTGTATGGCCACATGGCTCCACCTAGCACAGGGTGTATCTTAGCGTATGAACGCTTGACAAGGCTCGCGGTGTGACTGGGCAACGCCAAACGACTCCTGCAGACGGCTGGTAGCATCAGCGCGAGCCATGGCCACCTACTGTCTTCCTCTCCAACGACTGTCTTCCTCGCCAACTACTGTCTTCCTCGCCAACGAGATGACACCGGTACCGGTACCTCCCGTTTTTGCCAGTCGTTGAACTGGCATGCTGTCGAAGTCATCATCTAGTGTTTTTTTGCAGTTCCGAATTGCTATCGGCCTGAACTTGCGCCCTACTGTGGGGTTTAACCATGCCTTGCCTGTCCGAAGCATCTTATCTCAGTGAGATTGTGAGCTTCACTTGGGTGACATTCCTCTTTGAGGTTTGCGAAAGTCAATTATGCATTGAGAGTAAACCCCGGGCCCACTCCTGGGGCGATAACTGGGGGGAGAACCGGGTGCCGTGTGTGGGAAGCGCCATGATGTGAAGGAGCAAAATATCGGGCCTCGCTGCACTACTCTCGACATGCACAAAAGACAAAAATCTTCGCCGTGTATCTTCCCATATTCTAGCGGAAGATTCACTCTTGTTTTGCACATTTCGAGAGGAGTGCAGCGAGGCCGATCATGCAGGTACTCAAGTATGTGTGCGTCACTAGAACATCATGCAGCTGCGCAGCATGAACATGTGGACACAAGGTGAATCCAATCAGAATGTGTGCGCGCTGGTCGCCAATTAGGTCCCTAATTAAGTGGGTGGGCGAACATGAAAGAAGCGTGAGGGATGGGTGACAGCTGGTCGAGTCCTCATGCCGTTTTCCAAGAAATGATCGCCACTTGTCAGAGTCTTCTTCTCCAATCATCTACAGATCATTAAATTAGGGCAATCAAGGACAACTACCGCAGTTTGACGGTGAGATTTTTTTTATTTTTTTTATTTTTTTTATTTTTTTTTTTTTGAGTCGGTTTGAGTGATCGAGAATTGCTTCGTGTTGCACATTTTGGAGTCGAGTTTTTTTTTTTTTTTTTTTTTTTGGAGTCGGTTTGAGTGATGGAGAATTGCTTCGTGTTGCACATTTTGGAGTTGTTCGACGCTTTCTTCTCAGCCTACCCATTCCTCTCTCTCTCTCTCTCTCTCTCTCTCTCTCTCTCTCTCTCTCTCTCTCTCTCTCTCTCTCCCCTGCCTAAGCTATCCTCTGTGTTGACTATCTTTCTATAACGATGCTCTGTGTACTTTACCATGACTCATTATACTTGCAGTATTGCACGATAAGAACCATTCAGCTCTGCGATGCTTCGTGTTGCACATTCTGGAGTTGTTCGACGCTTTCTTCTCAGCCTANTCTCTCTCTCTCTCTCTCTCTCTCTCTCTCTCTCTCTCTCTCTCTCTCTCTCTCTCTCTCTCTCTCTCTCTCTCTCTCTCCTGCCTAAGCTATCCTCTGTGTTGACTATCTCTCTATAACGATGCTGTGTGTACTTCTTGATACCCTGAGTCAGTTATACTTGCAGTATTGCACGATAAGAACTGTTCAGCTGTGCGATGCACTGTGCGATGCATGGGACGTGAAGACTGTTGAGCTGTGAGTACGAGGAACATAGGAGGATGTACTATGTTTTGAGTTGACCGTCGTGCTCAAACGCAAGTATATGGCCATTGCTTTTCCTTTCCTAAGTATTGCACGACAAGAACTGTTGAGCTGTGCGATGCATGGGATCACTGTATCTGTGACGTGAGGCTTTTGAGTGACGCTAGCGGAGCGAGCGAAGCGAGGGAGCAGAGTGCAGGCTAGCGCATTGTCATCAGTTGGCGGAGAACAAGGAGGAGGAGTGCCTAGTAAGAAGAAGGAGAGGATGTGACACGGCGAGGAGACGGGCCGGAGGATGTGAAGGATGGGGAGGGGGAGGCGCAGCAGGAGAAGGAACAAGGAAGGCAACGAAGAAGAAGAAGGTAGAGAGAGATCATGGAAGTCCGGCTGGTGGGGTCTGAAAGGACCAGAAGAGGAGAGAGAACAAAAAGAACAAGGAGAGTGGTATGGTCATCTCTGAAAGGGGAGGAGAAAAGGGCTGAAGAAGGGACATGAAGAAAAGAGAACAAAGCCAGGTGATTTCGCAAGTCGCGTCAGATGGTTGTGTAACCCTCACAAAAACAGAAGGTATGGAAGAGGGAGGAAACAGAAGAGGAAGAGCAGGAGGAACGGCGGCAATAATGCCCTTGTCGGTGGTTCCGCGGACATACCTTGAGTCTTCGCAGCCAAGCAGTGGCACACAACGATCGATTGAGCGACCTTCCTCTCTCTATCTTTGTGTAAGCGTGCGCGTGTGCGTGCAATGAAAATGAATTGCAGTGCTACAAGCGTGCTGTACACTAATTTTGTGCCTGTCGTCTTTGTCGGGCAACCTTTGTCTGCTGTGTTGCCTGTTTGTTTGCCGTTTGTTTGTTTTGAGCTTGTGGGACTCGATCCTGTGGCCTGTAACCTGTGTGTTTTGTTTGTGAGCGTTGGCAGCCTGTGTGGGTTCCATTTTCTTCGTTTCATTTCTTTCTATTTTCGGTAAGGTGGTGCAGTACAGCTCGGCTACGGTGGGCTCGTTTGGGGTCTCCGACAGCAGAAAATAGGGCCCGGTCGCAGTCTTCCCGAAGACAGGTCATAGGGCAGGTTATCTTGTCAAGGTCGTTGCAATTTAATATAGGGCGTCGTCCATTGTTTCCCTTTTGAGGGATAGAGTTTTTTCTCGTTGAAAACTGGGGGTGGGCGATATGGGTCTGGACGGGCCATTTGGGTCTCCCTGGTTTCTCTTTTGTTTTTTTTTCCCTTCTACTGCATCTTCCCAGAAATACAGTATGGATGCATTCTACTGTTTACTACAACCAAGTAAAGAACCCAAATCTAGACGGGACTGCCCTGCCTCCTTGGCAGAGCTTACTAAGAAAAGAAAAGAAAATAAAAAAAAGAAGAAAAAACGCAAGAAAATCCTGGGAGCCCAAGGATTTGTCCTCGTGTTTTCACATTTTCATTTCCAATTTCATCTCCGAGGACAGGTGGAACTAAGACCATTTCCGATTTCATCTCCGAGGACAGGTGGAACTAAGACGATTTCCGATTTCATCTCCGAGGACAGGTGGAACTAGACGAAATCCTTGTCATCACGTCCCCGAGGAGTGTTTAACGATGCCCTTACTAAGAAAAGAAAAGAAAAGAAAAAAAGAAGAAAAAGCACACTTACCTTTGCCCCGAGAGTTGTGGAGATCCAGGGCCTTGCTCCACTACTGACCAAATGTGCAACATGAGCATGAATCTTCTGGTAGAACACAGGTAGATACACTGCTAGTAGTTTAGAGCTTGAAATGCCCTTTTTCCTGGCCGCGTGTGGGGCGGTACAGCCCTCAGTAGCTGGCTATTCGTTTTTCAGTTTGTTTTTTTTGTTTTTTTTTCCTGCGATAGAATAATCTGGGCTCCATCCAGCGTCCTAGCTCAATTGGTTAGGCACACAAGTGGCATTCAGGAGGTTGTGGGCTCAATCCCCACGGCCACCTGTGGCACTCTTGGTGCCATCCAACTGAGATAGTCAGCTGGATCCTCCCAGTCGGTATCAGTAAGGTCTTCAGCCAACACGGGTGTGAGTGCTCGTGTGAGTGGGTTGTGTGTGGTGTGTGGGAGAGTGTTGGCTTTGGACACTACCATCCAGAAGGCTGCCTTTCCCCCACTTCATAAGACCTTTGCCAAGCTTACTGTCTAGAACATAACGCATGCTACCCGAATGGTTGCGTCCCCGCGTTTGACACGGTACAACAGTTGATCCCTGAGTCTGTTACTACCGTCTTCCCTCAAACATAATACATATGCGTTGTATTCGAGTTTTCCAAAAAAAACGGTTTTTGGAAAGTCACTCTTTTCCTCTAATACAAGGGCACTTTGAATATAACGCATATGCGTTCTATTCGAATAATATGCATATGCGTTATATTTGAATTTCGCAAAGAGGAAATTGTTGTATTCAAATATAACATTTTTCTTTTCCCCCCCCCGAAGGTCAATGCCTGCTCCATTCTTGCCCTGGTGAACAGGACAGGCCTCTGCAGGCTCGTAATCACAGATGTGTTGTGTTTTGGCCTTGGGCATAGTCTCTCTCTCTCTCTCTCACTCTCTCTCTCTCTCTCTCTCTCTCTCTCTCTCTCTCTCTCTCTCTCTCTCTCTCTCTCTATATATATATATATATATATATATATATATATATNTCTCTCTCTCTCTCTCTCTCTCTATATATATATATATATATATATATATATATATATATATATATATATATATATATATATATATATATGTGTGTGTGTGTGTGTGTGTGTATGTGTGTGTGTGTGTGCATGCGCGAAGGCGCTTCTCACAACCAAGAATGTGGTGCGACCAATAAAGTGGAAAAATAAGAAAGCCACTCGCCAAGGCCTCTCTGCACTATCATGGTCACCGAGACAAAAAGAAAGGGGTTGTATTTGTCCACGTTCTAGAGGAAGATTCATTCTCGTTTTGCACACTTGGTGAGGAGTGGAGCAAGGGCCCAAGTAGGGGAAAGGAATGAAACTCAACCCAGAACATGGGAAGGTACGTCGCTACTTTACTTTTACCTTTTTGCCAAGGCTCAGAGGCCCTCAGCCGTGGTCCAGAACCGGGCGTACTCAGCCTGGACCAGACCCCCTTGTGCATGTAAAGTTGGTCTTGTTCACTTGAACATAACGCATATGCGTTCTAAACGAATACAACACACTGTATGCGATGTATTCGTTTACAACCCATATGCGTTATGTTCGGGGGAAGACGGTAGTAGTCTCTGTTTGCTAGTCCTAGGCCATTCGACCTTTTCCTTTTGTTTTGTCATACGTCTAGGTCCCCTCTTCCCCTGTTTCCATCCAGATACAGATGAGTCTTGGGTTTTGCCTTTGGAGTCCGTCATGGGTCTAGGCAGAGGGTAGAAGTAGCGGACAAGAAATTTGGTGTGGGTATTTTCTCGTTGTTTTTACTAGGGAAACTTTGCCCGTCCGTTTCTAAAGCGTTGCGGCATTATTTTGGGCGAGAACATCTTCTTCCTCGAAGCCCAGCCATAGCTGGGGCTGGGCCACAGCGTTGGAGATTGCATTGCTGCTATTCAGCAGATCTGCACGAGAGCTTCCATATGGTTGTGTTGTTGGGTTTTGATGCTGCCATTCTCCATTTAGCAGCTATATCTGTTGTTCCTCCTCATGAGGAACTTCGTTTTTGTCTTCTTCGAAGTGCTGGATCGGTTGTCTCCTTCTTCATCAGCACTTCCAGCGCTGCATTGTCGTGCAGGCACTGAGCTGGTGCTGCTATTATTGGGGTTGTTGGTTCAGACTGGCAGGTTGTGACAGTTGTGGGGTTACTGCTGCTATGGCATCCGTAGCAAGGGGTATGAGGTGGCGAGGAGGAAGAAGAAAACTCTTGTAGACTTCGTTGTACACTTGTCTTTGGTTGGTCGGGGTTAACAAGTACTTTGGATTGATTGGAGGAGGATTAGGGATTACAGAATTGAAATTCGATTTTCAATTCTCTGTTTATTTTTAGCTTCCGTTGTGCATATCTTCTCTTCGGTTTTATGTGGATTTGCCTCCTTCAAAGTACTCTGCAATTGCATGCATGAATGAGAACGTGTGAATTCATTGTGAATCGAAGTTCTATTGGGTACATAACATGCGTGCGGGGAATGTTCACATAGTGGAAACGGTCACCTGTACGATCTTGGCCCTTGGGTCAAGAATAGTATCAGTTGTCGTAGGCAAGGGGGTTATGGAGGGTTGGGTCCAACCTTTAGAGCTCCACTCTGTGAAGGCAGCATCTTGGTGGACGATAACCTTCATTGTAGGAAGTGGGTGAAAATTACAAGTTGTGCACACTCTTGAATCCTAGGTGGCGCGGTAGAGACATGTGTTAGAAGTGGCTCATCTCAGTACGCATTTGTTCTAAGACAGTTCCCGAGGTTAGATACATTTTTTGCGGCCACCATCAGCCTACCTGCTAGTTACTAGTTGGTATTGGTGTACAAACCGGTTTTCGGTTTTAAGAGTCAATTGACTTTTATCCTTTGCTTTGCCACACGATTTCGGACATCGACGACAGGATGCGTTTTCCAAGATGATATTGTTACCTGCATTAGGAGGATCTGTTGTCTGGATGAGAGAAACATGCATCAACAGAGGACACAGATGGAGATGGGAATAGGGATCAAGGACTATGAACTCACCCAGAATGCATATGCATATCACTGGTCCTGCCAGACCTACTCCTACCCCCAGTGACAGTATAAGTCATAGGCAACGCACCAATGGACGCAGGTTGTTGCACTTGTTGTATCTTCCTTGTACCCCCCTCGGGTACGCGTTCAGCAGCAGCGGCTGAAACACCAATTTGTGTACACAAATCTGCAGGCCGACACACATTCAAGTTTGCCAGCCAGTCTCAGAAGAGAGTCTTTTCTACTTCGCTGATTTTGGTGAAAGCCTATGAGTACTCAATAGGCCTAGCAGGCAGTCGTCTCTTGGTCAGTGCTTCCATCATCGCTGTCAGTCTTCGGTCAAGGGTCAGTCCTTCCTCTCCTTCACTCTAATGGTCCCCGACACTGAACATCTCGACTTGTCGTCTTGGTGACCACCCTCCTCATACTCTCCTTTTCGCTACCGCCAACACCCGCTCTCTGCGCATTTCAGAATGTTCCTCGTCCAATTCTTAACCCCCTTCCTTCCAACCCCTTCAGGATGAGAACCCCCAGACTTATGACCTGTTTTTTAACTTTTTCTTCCCGTAAAATCTCGCTGCAAAACCAGATACATCAATCTCCGACGAGAGACTAATAGTTGAGTTTAAAACCCTTATTTCTCCATTAATTACTTTCACTGCAAATCCTCTCATTCAAGTTGATGAATGTCTGCAGTCTTCCCTTTTTCGCTTCTGAATCCTTTGCGCGTTTGTAAGCCACATTAGTTGAAGAAAGATATGACTCTTCGCTTAGCATTAGTGACATTTTGGAGTATGTCGAGAATGCGACATTCTTCACGTTTCAAAACAGTGTTAAATCGTTCTATTTCTTAAAAAGAAAGAAAGCAGTGCAACTCCTCTCCCCCTCCTTTTATTCCAATCTTCTCGTTTCTCTCATTTTCGTCGTATCAAGGTATCTCGACTTTCTTACAACGGAGGTTCGGAGGAACAAAATCGTGTCATGTTGAATCTGGCCATTTTAAGGAGGAACGTCTACATGATCTCTGAATTTCATTCTACTACTTTCTTCTCTGCTTCGCTTCTGTTAGAA